AAATTGCTCGGTCAAGAGTTCTTCTCAAAGGCAGTGTTTCTACTGTGATGCCACTGTTTTTTGTTCTTCCAGTGCCAATGAAAAATCCAGGGGGAGTAGCAATAGTGTACCTCCACCCTCATTAGTTTGTATTTAGCACAGAAGTGAAATACATTCACACCCTGCTTTGTGAATGGAGCTCATTTTGAGAAGTGGGTGTGAGCAGTTCACACTGTGGTGAAAGCTATACATTCATCTCTTTCTTTTTCATTTGCATCAGCTCTTGCGACATTAAATACACCGAAGGGGTACAATCGCTCAATTGGACCAAAATCATGAAAACAATTGTAGATGACCCGGAAGGCTTTTTTGAGCAAGGTGGCTGGTCATTCCTTGAGCCAGAGGGAGAGGTATGCTGGATGAACCAACCTGGGTATTAGAATGGTGGGGAGCCCAGAGCCTCTCCCACTCCCTTTCTCTGAAAGATAGAGGGATTTTAATGCCAGAGATTGAAAGAATGCTTGGTGGACGGGGAAAATTGGTGGTGGAGTTGGGTTGGGTTGGGTTATGTACTTTTACAGACTATAGAGATAGCACTGCAGAACATTTGTCCTATAGATCTAGAATCGTAGCACGCCTTCCTCAGGCATATCTCTTTCATAGGGGTCCTAGATCTCTAAAAAAATGTTGTTCTCCATTAGGAGATTGGAATTGTTCAAATTCCTGTTATATACTGTTGATTTTGGACCCTGGGTAAAGGGGAATCGTTGTCCTGTACTAAGCCATAAAGTCCATAAGAGAGATCAACCTGACTGCCTTGATTTCCATAAGAGATGCCATTTGTGCCCCCTTTTTTCCAGGGAAGTGATGCTGAAGCTGGGGAATCTGAGTCTGAGATAGAGGACGAGACATTCAACCCTTCCGAGGAAGAGTATGAAGATGAGGAAGAAGACAGTGATGAAGACTACTCTTCAGAGGCAGAAGAATCAGGTGAGGAAAGAGGGAGGTTCACTCTTGATGTGCCCTTGGCACGTGGATTCCTGTCCTTGGCATGTGAGATTACTTGCTGGGCCATCAACATTTGCCGTTCTTCTTGTTCTTTCTTCTTTAATCGTTGGACTCTCTCTGTCCTCTTCCAGCATGGTATGTTTCCTTCTCTGTTGAAGCATATCTTGCTTAATCCTCCATGTCCTTTAAATGCTGACCAAATACTTCAGTAAATCCAGCCCTTTGACCTCTGTTTGACAAGTCTTGCCTCCTTCCGTGAAGCAAAGTGCTAAGTTTATGAAGATAACAACCTGGTTTTCTTTAGGAAATCATGTTGCTCAGAAGTTGACAGGCCTCTTTGTAAGCTTAGAAACTTGGAGAAGACTGCTTGAACGGAGATCCAGGTTCAGAAAAGCACACATCCATCTTGGTGCTCTGCCACCATTCTGCCTGTTCTCTTCAGAAGCTTCTTTGGTTTTCTTGTTGTGGAAGAGATCAACAAAAGAGCTCTTTTCCATCTCCTGCCCCCCTCCCTTTCCCCTACAATCTAAATTATTGACTAAATTGTTGTTGTTATATACACAACAATATGAAATCACAGCTGCCAGTTCTTTAGCTGGCATTGGCCTTCATTCAGATTGAGTTCTTCCCAAGAACCTAGGATGTTGTAATGTATCGGTGTAATATATGTGTGGATCCAAGCGGTGTGGCCCTTTGTAATTGACATATGGAAATTTTGTCAATGCGCAGATTTCCTAAGTGCCATCCAAGGCTTTTTTGTATGGCACTCAGAGTGCCGATAATCACTGGGACCACCACTGCCAGTTTATGCCATAATCTCTCAACTTTGATTTTCAGATCTTGTTATTTTGTGATTGTCTCCAATTCTATTCTACTATCCCCTGGTATTGCCACACCATTTATCCACACTTTCTTCTTTTCAGCCACAGTTAAATCTGGTGTGTTGTGTGCCACGACTTTATCAGTTTGTATTCGGAAATCCCATAATATTTTAACCTGCTCATTTTCGACTACTATATGTTCCCACCAATTTTTCATTACTGGCAGATGGTAATTTTTACAGATATTCCAGTGAATCATTTTGGTGATTCTGTTATATCATTGTTTATAATCTGTTTGTGCAATCTTCTTGCTTATTATATTTTTATCCTGCCTTTTTTTATATAACTCAAGACAGTGAACATACCTAATACTTCTGCCTCCTATAAATTAATATATGAATGTATTAATATAAATTAATGAATCAATAATAAATCAATAAATCCTTGGAACCTCGAAGGATCAGATCCAGGTTTAAGGCTGTAATTATGGTTGCTTTTTTTTTTTTTAATCCATTCAGTTGTGTCCAATTCTTGAAGACTGCCTGGAGAAGTCCCTGCAGTTTTCTTGGCAAGGTTTTTTTCAGAAGTGGTTTGCCATTGCCTCCTTCCTAGGGCTGAGAGAAAGTGACTGGCCCAAGGTCACTCAGCTGACTTGGTGCCTAGGTGGGACTAGAACTCAGTCTCCCGGTTTCTATCCTGGTGCCTTAACCACGACACCAAACTGGCTGTCATATGGATGTTACTTGGCTACAAATAGCATTGAACACCCAGAGTATCAGGGTGCAGGTGGGCTGAACTCACCTTGCCCCAGCCCTCACAGCTTGCCTCTGACCCCTAACCTGTAGAAAACTTGGCAACACTTGGCTTTACTTCTGCAATTGGCTCCCCTCATAAGAAGAGTCTCTCACAATGGCCAGCCAGTTGCATCCTGGAAGTGCTCAAGCCTGGATGGGAGGGAGTTAATCTTTCCATTCTTGCTCCCCAGCCACTCGCATTTAAGGGAGTCAGCCTGTGATTCTGAAGGCATGCTGCTCCTTCAAGACTTGTGCTTCACATTAGCTTTTCTGTATGTCAGCCAATTCTGAGCCTTTCTTCTCTTTGACAGATTACTCCAAAGAGTCCCTGGGCAGCGAGGAGGAGAGTGGGAAAGACTGGGACGAACTGGAGGAAGAAGCACGGAAAGGTGAACACCCTTCCCTCTTCCAGTTCTCTGTTGGAAACATCTTGGTGCAAAACTGGGCCTGTGAAGCTGCTTTGGGCCCGTTTTCTTGACACATGGAAAGGAACACTAAACTTGGGCCTACAGCTTCAGCCAATCCAGAAAGTAGGGACACAAATAGATCTGGGTGCACCTCAAAACGGCCTTGTAACAGCGGCACTTCGCAAGTTCATTGGTTGCCTGTGGGCTTCTGAGTGTAATTCAAGGCACTGGTTATCACCTTTAAAGCCCTTCATGGCCCAGGGCCAAGTGGTTTGTGGGACCTCCGCTCTCCACTGTTCTCAGTCGGTCCAGTAAAGATCTGAGAGAGTTGGCATGCTCCAGGTCCTGTCTCTTAAGCAGTGCCACCTTGTGGGACCCAAAAGACATGCCTCCTCTGGCTGCATCTGCCCTGATTCAGATGGCCCTGATCCTGTGGGCCTTGCATAAGGCTTTAAAAACCTGGCTTTCCCCCCAGGCACTGGTAGGTTCCACCCCTCATGACTGTGTTGATTGTTGAGTTGTCTGGTGGAATTTGTACCATGAACCTTACTATATTTATGACAGTTTAATTTTAGCTTCAAGTTTTGAATTGTACACCGCCCCTGAGACATTTTGAGTGGGCAGCCATGCAAATCAAATAACAGAAAAAATGTGAGCAGGCTCGGTGCGTGCTGTGAATGCTCTGCAGAGGATCTGATTTCTTCATCTCTCGCTGCAGCTGATCGAGAGAGTCGGTACGAGGAGGAGGAGGAACAGAGCCGCTCCATCAGCCGCAAGAGGAAGGGTCCCTCCTCCCAGAGTTCGGGGCATAATCGCAGTTCCCACAGTCGTAGTCCTGGCCGAAGTTCTGCCCCGCCTAAGAAGAAGAGGAAGTAGACGGGGATGACAAACCTTTCCCATCAGTCAATTTGGGGGGGAGGAGGGGGGAGTTGGGGCTATGGAGGCCTCCTCTGTCAGCCAATCTTTAGGGCCCGGGGGCGGCCGGCTCCTCCCCACAAACTTTTTCACCTTTCCCGCATACACACCAACCCTTCGCCCTTCTTTTGTTTCTCTGGAGAATATTTCAGTTTTCTTCCCCGCGTCTTTTCTGACCATTCGCATGGACCAATCTGCTGTGAGAGAATTCCAGGCTGTGTTCTTGGGTTAACGGTGGACAAAAACTGTGCTGGGGAGGGGGCAAGGAGGCTGTCTTGGGTGAGACTCAGGAATCTGGCATGAATTATGATGCTTCTCTGCAGCTCCCACCTACCCTTTTCCATTACCCTCTGTCCTTGGGGTATATCGACTCAGAACACCCTTCTGCTAGCGACTCTTTCCTGTTCCCCATGTCTGCATTTTTGGAAGCATTGGAATGAGGAGCCGGTTGACTTAAGTATTACACCAGAGTCGAGAACTTGAAGTTCAAGCTGACTGCTCGTTCTTTTGGCATTTTGAACCAACGGGGAAGAGTGGGATCGTGTTGCACTTTTCTAACGCAAGGGCCCAGCGGCAGCAGGAAACCCATCTTGGAGCAGTGATGGAAAGGAATACAAAAAGCTTCCATAAAGACGCAACCAGGACTGGGGAATTAGGACTCAAGTGAAAGAAAGGATTCTTGCTTCTTCTTTTTATTCTTTTTTTTTTTTTCATTTATTGGTTCCCCTTTCCCCTTTTTCTAATTGTCAAGCTCTGTTTGTATTTATCTGTTTCCAGGGTTGACAAGTTGGTCTCCGGCGAGCAAGCGTTTGAGGGTTGCAGAGGGAACGGATTAAATGCATTTCCTGCCCTAACCCTCCCTTGTTTCCTCTGAATAGGGGTCCACCCGATCCAGGCCGGGTTGGGGGCATGGGGCTTTCTCACCTTTTTTTTTTTCGTAGCTGTTAGCACTCTTGGTATTTTTGACTTTGGAGAAACTGAACAATAAAAATGTTTTTTTTAAAGATTTGGAAAGTTTATTTTGCCGACTTCTTTGCTTGCCTCTCTGAACGATCCTTCTGATGATGGAAGCCTGTTTACGCCTCTTCAGTTCCCCTTTCCTCGCGGTTCTGCCATTGGCCTGCCCAGTAGATAGCACGCAAAGCCGCTGCCGCTTCAACAGAGACTTTCAGCTTTCCAATCTTGGTGGTGTGGTCTAAAGAACTCAAAACTGTATGATGGGAAATGAAATGTATCCCTTTTTGTTCCTTACCCCCCCACCCCCATTTAGAGTATAGTTTCCCAGTCTGGCAGTCACTCATGAAGGGTGGGGAGGAGAAGAGAAATGACTTGAATATTTTTAAATTGAATGTGGAGACTCTGTGGCCCTCCAGATGTTGCTGTTCATCAGTAACTGCAATCAATGTAGGCTAAACCTGGCAGGAGTTAAAATCCAGCCACATCTGGAGAACTATAAAGCTTCCATGCCTTGTGAATATCAAGCAACCAAACCACATTTGGATTTTAATCATTAAGAGTTGCCTTGGGTTGCCTGTTATATTGCTTCCATGTTTGGAGGGAGAGTGGACAGCTGCTTACCTTGTAAATCTTGCTCCAAGATGTCATTTCCAGTCAGAAGAATCTCTTGCAAGTCCACGCGGGAGAAACCCACATCTTCACATTCCCCTCTGGCCCCAGGAAGCGGCTCGCTCACCACTATAAACGGCAGCCTGTGCCAAGGGAAGACTTGGTGAATACATGTCCTGGGAATTTCTTTCCTGCAACTTTCTAGGAGAAGAGGGGATCAGACACCCACTTGTTCCATTGGGGATCCTCTTCCACAAGCATGGAAAACAGCATTTGCCTTTGGAAACTTCCTGGATCTGGGTCCAGTTTGATCACTGGAGTAGAAGAATTCAGCAAATGTTATTCAGATACATATGGCACCATTACTGGGGCTGTGGAACATACACATTTCCTGCTAGATACATGGATCCAGGTCACGCTATCACCATAACATGTTTTCTATGACAATGACAGCTTTTTGGAGTCAAGATGTTCCTTCAGTGTTTAGAAATGGAGCCAATAGCTTATCTGTCTTCTATCAACTCTGCCTTGGATCTGAACAGCAGGTTTATGCATATATTTGCATAAAGAGCAATACTGACAAGGTTACAAGGGGGGATCCTGTCTCCTAGATGGTGGTGGGTTATAGGCATATTCCTTTCTTTTGGCTGTGTAGCTGAAGCCTATGGAAACAAGCTTTGGAAGGCTACTGATTCTCCCTTTTTTCCAGAGGTGTACAGATCTTTTGCACAAGCATGTTATATGAGCCCCCTGTTCCAAATTACTCCCATGCCACTATTGGCTGTATGAAAAGTTTGCATTGATACTAGTGAAGGCTTCTTAAAGGCCAGGTTTCCTTAATATCAGCCAGCTTCCCAAATCTGTAGACCAACCTTCCTCAACCATGTGTCTTACAGGTGTGCTCCACCACAATGTCCACCATCCTCAGCCAACATGGTCAGAACACCTGAGGGTACCAAGTTAGGGAAGTCTACTTTTGCCTCTATTTTCTCCCTTCCTTAGCAAACCAAGAAAATGTGATCTGCGTGTCCTCACCCTTGCTGAAGTGGAAATAGATTTCCTGGTTCCCCCTAGGTTTCTTCAAAGAGAAAGTGGTCTCCGTTTCCTCCAGGGGCACTCCGGGGAAGTGGAACTCGACATACAGTTGCTGGATGGCCTCATCGGCCACAGGCTGGCTCTCTGGCAAGAGGCCGAGGGAAATGACCTCCACACGGATCCAGTCTGAAGGTTGCTGATGGCAGAAAAGAAACCATTTCTCACTTTGTTTCAGGCCGGCCCCCCATCTTGCTTCACCCCTTTTCTAGCCCCCAAGAATGTTTGAGGAACATGTTGGGCTGTATTTGGAGGTGTTTATGGTGTAGAACTGATGCCAAAGCTTAAGGCATCTCCCCAATCTCCCTCAAATTCCTCCCCAATAATTTTGCCCCGTAACACTTCCAATATCCTGATTTTGGTCCTGCCAAGTTGTATCAGTCCCTGTTATCCTTGGAGTCCAAAAATTGGATATAGGCTCTGTTTTAGACAAAGAAATTGTCTATATCTAAATATTGGTGGACTTTTTCCTGATCTTACCCTCCCAGAGGTGGTTCTAATTGCCCAAATCAGTGACCTTTAAAAGCAGGAAGATGGAAATTCAGGGGGGGGGGAATAGAAGAAAGCTGAAGATAGGTGTACGATGTTGGCTCATCTCGCCTCCCTAGGATATTTTTGTGAGGATCAAAGGGATAAGAATCTACTAAATAATAAATTATAATGGTTTCACAGCACCATCAGAGATGCCCCATTTGCACAACCATGATGTATTGGCCATCATGTTGATGCCAGTAGGTTGCCCTAATCATTCTTCCCAGCACCTTTCCCTGCCAGGATAAATCCAGTTCTTTCTCCCTGGATTTTCTTCCTTATATTTAATCAAAAGCCAGGTAGCTGCAACTTCCATACTTTTATTTCTGGTCCTAGCTTGGAAAAGAGTTCCTGACCAAAAGCCCAGGTGTTCCATCTCCCCTTAGACTTCTTTTCTCCAAATTGAGCATCCCAAGTGTCTTCAGCCTATTCTGATAGAGAACATCCTCAAGTTGCTGCAACATCTTCATTGGCTTTCTCTGAACCCTCTCCAACTCTTCAGTATCCAGTAATCACCAGCAAGTCTCAGAAAAGTTCTCAAGGCCCAACAATCTCTTTCTCACCACTGTTGCTACATTTTTACACATGTGGTTATCTTGGCCCATCTTTTTTCTTCTGTTTTTCTCACCCCCAGGCTTGATGCGTAACCCACTGTCATTTGAATCCAGCTGTTGTGCTTCGCAAACTCCAGTTTCTAGGTCACCGCAGTGTATGAGCCCAGCAAATTGCGGCTTATTTTGTAATCCATGATTCAACAAATCACGGCTTGGCCCAGTGTGATAACCAAATCATTCAGCTGTACTTTGTAAGCAGCCTCTGAGCAAGTTTTTGCCTGTGGAACTATGTGGTAGCTACTCACCAGATCGACACACCCCTGCAGAGTGGGTAACCCCACCACCACTTCATCACTTTCTGTTGTCTGAGCTTCACTTGTATCTTGTTCCTCACCATCTGCAGGCAAGATGGGAGAAAAAGTTGTAAGACTGAGCAAAATAAAGAGGTTGCTTCAGAGGACAAATAGTGGGGAAAGTACACACTCACACAACCCAAATTAGTCTCCTCTATTGTCTGTGAAAGCTAGGGCCCTGTTCTTGATCCTCTTAAACTGGCCAGCTGCCTTGGTCCAGTGCAGGATGAGATCCCATCACCAGTGCTGAAATGAGCCCACCACAGTTTCATTTGTTTCCCTGAGGGATCAAAGAAGGATACTGTCTTGGGTTTGCCCTATCAAGATCTTGCTGAGTAATATTTTCACTGCCATCCAAGAGTCTTATCTAGGATCTGGTGCTAGGCTGGGGGCTGGAGACCCAAGATCAAGTAGGAGATCCTATTTGTTCCTATAAATAGGAAACTCAAATCAATCAACCTTCAGCTATTTGGTCACCAATTTCCAGCAGCATAATGCAAAAGGGTACTGGTGGCCCCCATGAAGCCCACAGATTGTGAGCCACCCATCCCTGGTCTTTTATAAAAACCATGCCAAATGTGGTTTAATGAACAGACCATGCTTTCATACAATCTGCAGACTCAGCCATGCACTAGTGAAGCAATGGTTTCCAGAAGGATCAAGGAGTAGGACCAAGGAAGTTAATTCATCCTACCATACCATGAGACAATTTAACAAAATCTACTGGATTTTGTTTACATTCCCCAACTCACCATGTGAAAGAAACCTATGAACCTACCCTTTGTCACTGGGATTAATCTGATAGCTGAAAAGTTCTCTCTCTGTCTTATCCTGATGTAATACATTTAATTGTTAACAGAATTTTATGTTTCCTTGCACAAATTCAACATCTAAGCTCATCCAACAACTTGATGAGTTGTGACAATATACCAGTGTTCTTCAGCACAGCTACTAGGATAGATTCATCACCCAATTCTTGTTTTTCTGCCACCCTTGCTTTCTCTCCAACATTCAGTATTTCTTCTTCTTCCTTCTTTGTCCATTCTTCCAGCTCCATCTGTCCAGATACAAAACCCAGTTTGGTCACAAAATGGGCCATGGCTTTAGGACAATAATTGGTGCCAGTTAAGTAAATATCCACATGTATGTTTCAGTGCAGATGTTAAAATGTTCCAGAACTTAGATTCTCTTGCCACAGTTCAGAGAAAGCTTGGTGCTGATTGCACATAGTATATCTAATAATACAGAAAGTAGAACCAGGGCAGCGTGTTCTGGAATCCCGGGAATTCTTAGTTTTAAAAAAGAAAGAAAAGAAAGCACATGTTTCTAGTCTTTCATGGTATATAGAAAAGGAGGAATACAACTTCTTTCTTGGGAAGGTAGGCTTAAAGACTTCTCAGTTATATAATTAATCTGGAAACTAATCAGTAATCTATTGGTTTTGGAGTAGCGAACACCAAGCTCTGCTTTCAGAGATACAAGCACATTGTATCTTAGTCAAAAAATCATGGTTAAGTCATGGCTTACTGCAATGCACGAACCCAGGTAATTACAATTCAAATACAAGCTCCTGCAACTGCAGTATGAATATTCTCCCTGTTTATTAAAGGCTGTCCAATTCTCACCCTCTCCCCATCTTCCCTGTATAAAACCTTAGAATGTCATCTCCTGGGGAAGAGACCTGACTTTTTATGCTTTAATGAGCATTTGGCAAAATTTTCTTTTTCTTTTTCCCAAAGAGGCTTTTAATCAAAGCCTTGCTTTTATTTGCAGAATCTTCCTAAAGTTTGTCCCTCTTTTTTGGGGGGCGGGAGTGGGGGGGAGTTCCTTTAAGTCAATGTTGACTCCTTGTGACTGTCTGGACGAGTCCCTGCAGTTTTCTTGGCAAGGTTTTTCGGAAGTGGTTTGCCCTTGCCTCCTTCCTAGGGCTGAGACAAAGTGAATGGCCCAGGGTCACCCAGCTGGCTTCATGCCTAATGTGGGACTAGAGCTTTCAGTCTCCTGGTTTCTAGCCTGATGCCTTAGACTCTACACATGTTGTAGATTCTCCATGCTGGCTGGAGAATTCCAGGAGTTGAAGTCCACACTTCTTAAAGTTGCCAGGGTTGAGAAACACTGCTCTGCATCAAACTGGCTCTCTTATTCCTTACCTCGGGGATAGTTTTGCCAACTTTCTCCTTTCTCCTGCTTCTCTTGAGCTCCTGTGTTGGAATCACTTGGGCAGAAAGGAGCTCCAGCCCGTTTTCTACCTTGCTGCTTTTCTGAAGGTGTTTTTCAGACACCTGTAAGAGAGGTTTCAGGGGAAACAGCACTTCTTTTTCTCACAACCTAAATGAGCATTGGGCATTGCAGATGATTATTTTTATCCCAAAAAAAGCCAAACTTCTTGGGTGGGAGGCTTTCCAAAATTATTTATGACATTAAAGACCTGTTCCTAAAAATAGGAACACATTACAAATGTTTACTTGCCACATTCAAAAGGTATTTGTAAAAATAACAAGAATAAAACTGTAAAAAGGGCATGACTCCACTGTAATGGGAACCCCTGGAATAAAATCTAAATAATAAATATAAAAATACCTTGGAGATAAGGAATGGCTTAGCCTGCAACTGAAATACATTGGTGAGAGGGCCAGAGAAGCCTTCTGGGGGGAGCGTTCTACAAGCACAGCTCCAACAGTGAGAAGGCTCTCAGCAGTGCAGACTCAGAATCCTGGATAATTGCTCTTTTAGCTAAGAAAATCTTCTGAGTCTACACTGTGGTCCTTCAGATACAGCTTAATGCAACATTTTTCATTTTTCCATGGGTTGGTACCACCACTGGGGTGAATTCTCCACTCTGCAAAGCTTCCATACCTGGCTTTGCAGCATGTTTTGCTCATCAGCAATCTGCATCTTCAAAGAATGTGATTGGGTAGTCTTATGAGGAGCATCTTCTGGAGGCAAATAAAGGCCCTTCCATTCTAGGCTTAGGTAGATGGAGCCATTGGGCTTCCTTGTAGGGTCCATGAGGCCAAAGTCTCCTGCAGATAGGAGGAAAAAGACAAGATCTGGATCTGGAACAAGGGTGGCTGCAGACATTCCACTATTGGAAGTGGTGAAGCCTAAGGCATCCTAAACTTGCACTGAATTGTCTTTAACTAACTTTTGTGTTCCATTTCAAAGGATCAGGCACAGCTTTCTGGGCCTTTCCAGTGAAGATATAGAAACCCCCAACACCCAGAAGTGTGTTTGTGTGGAGGTGGGGGCTGATATAATGTTTCCTCTATGATACCATTCCAGTGAGTAAACTGGAGGTTTTGAGAGAAGCTCAAAGCTGCAGTGGAGACAGCTGAGTTATGCCTTTAGACAAGGCTGTAAAGGAATTTAGGGATGACCTTGGGGAAGATATGAAAGAACCCTTAAGAGAGACCTGCAGAAAAGATTACACAGTCTTGAGAAAAAGGGAATGTGAGAAATAAACTCAAAATAACTCTGCCTTGATTTTGTTTCATGTGAGATAGGACAGAGCAAACCTTGATCGGCTTTCAAGATTCTGTCATTTAACCCAGCAACAATTCCTGGAATCCCTGTGCTGTCTGTTTCTTGATCAGGCCTATCTCAAAGGGCTGACATCAGCCTTGAAGCCTATCCAAGGATCTTTATGTTCCATTTATACTAAAGAAAATCAAGGCAGGATATTTTGAATTTCTTTCTCACACTTGTTTCAACCTCTGGACTGTTCAATTGCTTCTCCACATCCCTCCTCACCTGCTCTTGTATTCTTTCCCTAAGACCATCTCTAAATTCCTTTACAAAGACTCAGGTTTCCTGACTTTCTAAAAAGAGTCTTAGGCTTTATTTTAGTCTCACCGTAAAGGTTTTGGGTGTTCTGCATCCAAAGGTCAGTCATCCAACTGAGAGGAGGGGCTGGAGGTGTTAAAGGAAATCTAGGGATCAGCAGTTGTCCATTACTTGAACCATACTCTCTCTAGCCCTCCCCCCTGTGTTGTACTATCCTTCCCATCCTTTTCCTGGCCAATATGGCTGTGGGAGTTGCAACCTATCTGGAGAGCCCCCAAGTTGGGGACTATTGTCCTAGATCAAGAAGGGCTTAGCACAGAAGACAGTTCAAGAAAGTAAGGATAGATCTACCTAGTATCCTTCTTCATTGATCTCACCTTTGATGCTGTGTCCATGTGCTAATGGTACTAGAGGGATCTGGGCCTTGCCCAAATAGCTTCCAGGTTCCTCTTCCTCATCGTCAAACACATACACCCGCAAACTTTCCACAAGCAAATAATGATGCAGCTCAGGAGTGACGTGCACAGTAAAAGTCTGCACATCTCCAAAGTGGGGGTTGTTGCTAGACGGGATGATGAGTGTGTCATGATCTGGAAAGGTGAAGAACTGGTACATGGCATAAGGGCTGGGCTGTGAGCCAAGCCAACAGCTTCTCAAATTGGCACAGCTCTCGATCCGGATGCATAGCTCATTCCAGCGTACACCTTCAGTCTGCTAGGGGGGAAAAAAGAATGGTGGTGATGCAGTAGGGAAGCCACAGCAGTTGTTCTGTTCACAGTTTCTTCAAGTCTGACAATATTCATTTCTTTCTGCAGGTTTTAATAAAAATGGGATTCTGACTCTGAGTAGGAACACAATAGTTGCTTTTTCCTGTACTGATTCTTTCAGCTGGTCAGTGAGCTGCACTTGATCAGTGGAAGCAATAGGCTTTTGAATACTACAAGGTAACAACAGAGGGAGAAGGGGAGAACTATTGCACTAGTGATCTGCAAGTAGATGGCCTCTGTGGAAACAGAATATGTAAGGTTTTAAGCTTAACATTTGAAGTCATCATCGAGCTTCCACATAAGGTAAAAAAAGAGACATAGCTGTTTGAATGAGTCAATTCATTAAAGCAGCAGTGTCTTTAATGTGCCTCATTAGAACAGCTGTGTCTTTTTTCAGGCTCATGCAAAAGCCTGAACAATAGATGTAGCTGCTTTAAAGTGGTGCCTGTGATGGAATGGAATTATGAAGGCCAGGCTCAGGGAGATAAGCATGTTCTTAGTTCACCAGAGAAGTGTGGGAAGT